ACATCTCACAAACTCTATACCCTCAATATATTTTTCTATGTCCTCTTTGAAAACATTTGTATAGTTAAGATATAAAACTTTTGACATAAGTGTTTCAATGTCATGAACTCTTATAGCACCACTATATAATAGTCTAGCAGATATACTATCCCAGTCTATATATTCTGCTTTTTTCAAAACCTCTCTCACAATATTTTTCTTATCTAATGGTATACGTTCCATCTTACCTATAGGTATCTTTTCTTTTAACTCTTTCAATATTTTGTTTGTGTCTGGAATATAGATCCAAGGTGATCTGATTTTTGCATCCCTGGGATGGACGATACACCCAAAGTGTCACCTTTTTGGGATAACATGAATTTTAAATATCATGAGAGTTCTGCAAACCATATGCACAATATCTATTCAGCCTGACTTCTTGTATATATGAGTTAGACTTCTTAAATATTGTGCTTGGGGCGATATAAGCATTTCCGAGATTACCATCGTGCTCTATAGTATGCTACTTCTCCCTGGTTCTAGCTCAGTTCCAAGGATATTGGCGTTCAAGGATTTGGCAAGGTCCTTCCGAAGTCTCTCATTCGATGAGAGATTTCGGAAGAATCTTGCCTTAAAGTACTCCAACTCTTGTTCTTTTGTTCCTAAATAGTGAGAAAAGTTATTTGACTACTTAAGGTAGAGATTATCCGAGGTCCCTCATTTGATGAGAGGCCTCGGATAATCTCTGCCTTAAAATTGTACACTTGTAGTCCATGAGAGTGTAAGTATACATTGATATGACAGCTTTCTTCTGAAGTCTTAGATTTGATGAGAACCTCAGAAGAAAACTGTCCTATTTTATAGTAAAAGGAGTTTCAGGAGCTCCAAAGCTCCCTTTCGTAAGGATTAGGAGCTTTGGAGCTCCTGGTTCGGAGATGTGTTTCGCATCTTTCATCAGAAAAGGACATTTACCATCTGGGACTCTGTTGATGGAGACTCAGGAGCTCCAAAGCTCCCTTTAGTAAGGATTAGAAGCTTTGAAGCTCCTGGTTCGTAGACGTGTTTCGCATCTTTCATCAGAAGAGGCCCAAATGGTAAATAGCCTCTGCTGATGAGCTTCAGGAGCTCCAAGGCTCCCTCTCGTGACGATTAGGAGCTTTGTAGCTCCTGAAGGTAAGGTAGGATTGCTCTGATCTCTAATCAGTAGATGCCATGCCTCATTATGAACTCTACTGACAAGAGATCAAGAGCTCCAAGGACTCCCTTTTTAGTTAGTGGCGTTCTCACCATTTAGTAGGATTGCTGATCCTACTAATGAAGTGATCACTTAGTATACGTTTTGAATAAATTGAATTTTTTTTTAGAATTTAGTATTTTTTATAGACATCACATGTATATTATAAATACATAAATATATTCTTTAATTCAAAAAATTCAATTCGGTTTTGGGATGGGTATCCCAGCCCCAAGTATTCAATTTTATTCAATTTTTTAAGAATTTTGGGTTGGGATGCCCAGACCAAAACAAGCTTTATATTTTGATGTGTAGATACGTATGTGTGCATCATTGTTGTGTTATATATTATGTTTTTAATGAAAAAAAATCTGATTCAAAAAAATTATCACTAATTAGTTGATAATATAAAGAAAAATAGATAAATTGTATGTTTTGAGAGTATTTATCCACATTCACTCATATGAATTTCATTAAATAGTGTCTTTTTACTCCCAAATTTATTTTGAATTATTGAAATCAAAGAAAAAAATCAGAAAAATTTCTCGAAATTTTTATTTTCAAAAAAAATTTGGATTTTATATTGAAAACTGACACTGGGAGGACGATAGGGCTGGGATTGGAGATACCCCGCTCACTTGGGAAAAATACGGATCTATAGTCTGGAATATGTTTGAGACGGTCCATATAGTTGTCGAAGTCATTGCATATAATCTTTGAGTCTGGAAATATTATATGGCACAAATGGGATATATAGAAACTTCCACCGAACAAATCTACAAATGTTAGACCATTCGGTAGTTTCTTAAGTTCTCTCAATATAATATCTTTACATTTACTCTTATTTCCAAAGAACGGTAACGGAGGTTTTGTAAAATTCATTTATATATAATAATAAAAATGTTTTTCCCTGAAAAGTGACAGAAAAGTGACAAAACATGAAAACATATATAATTTGTGAAAAGCGACACATTATATAATGTTTTCGACCCAGAAGAAGGCTTCTTCCCAGAAGCAATGGAGGAAGAAGAAGAGTCCTCCGAATAAAAACTTCATTTATACTAAACATCAACATCAGGGCTAGAAGGCACGAAGTGCCTGGAAGCCCCACTTCCTTTTTTTTTTTTTTTTTTTTTTTTTTTGATATATTTATATATAATAAACGATTACTTAAAAAAAGTATTTCATCGCTTATGTAAGTTTCAAAAAAATCACGAAAATAAAAAAATCAAGATTAAAATTTTATTTTTAATTTTTGAATTTCTCAAATGGCGAAATTTTTGGGCGAACAAAAAAAATGTACGCCCGGTCAAATGGCGTGTTTAACGCATCCCTATTTCCAAATTTTTGCCGATTTACAAAAAATGATTTACAAAGCATATTTTTTAATCTAAAAAATTCCTAAAAAAAAGGAACCGGTGTGCGGAAACCTCGGTAAATTACCGCGGTTCCCGTTGGGACTGCCATAGATTTCCCAAACTCCTATATTCTTCAAGTACTGTTTATTATCCTAATATTTTTAGCTATCTTTCCATCTGTTAAAAGGTTAATTTTCTAAAAATATAGTGAAAATTTGTTGTAGAAAGATGCAAAAATGAAAATTTGAATATTTTTTGGAAAAAATAAATTAATAAAATAAGTCTGTTTTAAAAATAGAACAATAAAACCTGCTTATAAACTTTAAATATATGAATTATTATACTTTTGAATATAAAATTATCAATAATATATATTGACACAGCTTGGATATATCAAGAAAAACAAAAGTTAAGGCAGATTCTCTTTTAATTACCACCATTATTCTTATTTATTAAAAGATCTAAATTTAAAAAATCAACCGGAGATATTAATGCTGGAACGTGTCCTATTTTAAAGGTTATTAATTTTTCTCAATGATTCATCCTAATTTTGTTTTATGATAATTTCGATTTTTTTTTACTTCAATATGAAACGTTCTTACAATAATCATGTATTTAGGGCAAGCTTTAGAGTCAGAGCGAAAGAGTAGACTTAAAAATATTTGCATTATTGTTGCATAAGAGTTGGATTTCATCTGTTCTCCTTTGTTTTTATTCAATATAAGCATGTAACCAGACGGAATACTTAATTATAAATACATAATGTGTGATATATTATGATTAAAGACAAGATATTGTATCACATCCTTCCATTTTTTGTGAAACATATCGATTTTCGGATGTGCATGGTATATAATATTATACGATTAGGAAACTCTAAATATAATGTAAGGGTTTCGTTTTGCTAAAATTGTCACTTTTATAGCATATTTGTTTTTGGATGTTTTGCGAAACCAAAAAAAAACTATGATATACAATGTGTGTGTAAAGAAAATACTTTATTTACTAGTTAAAAAATCATTTGGTATTGATCAAGTTATTTTTTCTGGATAAGATATTATATGGATAATTGGATAGAAAATACAATTATATAATCTTGTACCTGGTTTAATTAAGCTAATTGTCATCAGAAACTTGTAATTTTTATGAATTTCAGATTTTTTTTTCATTACTGCTTTTCTTAATAGGTCAAGTTCTTATTTACGTTATAAAGTATGATATTTACAAATATCAAGTTATCGTGTTTTTTGAGAAATTATGAGAAACAAACAAAAATGAAAAAGATAGGAATAGCAATGAATAGTGATGTGGGTATAGAAAATGTAAAAGATATGAATGCAAAGCAATCAGTATTTAGGACATTGACCATAGATTTCGAAAAAAAAATGCTGCATATTGAGCGAAAACTATGATTATATTATAGGGCTGTCATTTAAAGCATAATGAAACTATTCCCTTTTCATTTTAATCGAATAAGATAGTAAAGATTTTTGAATTAGCTAGAAACTGATGAGATGTTTTCACAAATCAGATTTTTAATCTCTGTAATGCATAATTCACTCAATATCTCAATTTTGATATTGCGAGATATTTTTGCTATCGGTTTCGCAATTTTGACACAATAGCAAGAGGGTTCTATAAGCATTATTATCGACGTAGAATCTGAATATCATATCAGAAAATGTCGCAAATCTGACATTTACCCGACCAAATAGCAAAAATAATTGAATACTTTTCGCAAAAACTTTAAAAATCGATAAAAATATGAAATATAGATATTAAAGAGACTTTTTATATAATATTCATAAAGATTTTCCAAAAATATGATACCGCAAAATTAAAAAAGTGACGTCTTGAGTGGAGTCAAAGGTCGAAATTGCTAGCTAAATGTTTTTTAGCGAAATTGCGTATTGTACGTTTTTTTCGCAAAACGAAACCCTTATATAATGTTGACAAAATATGAATCAACTATCGAGTGACATTTTCTGATTTTCAGGAAAGATTTGTTGCCGATTTTAAGATTTACATACGTACGATCAGTCATATGATCATAACATGCAATGAACAATCTGATTGTAAATTTTGAGACTGTAACAGTTAATTATTTGACAACTTATTTTCTTTAATCCTCTCTTATCACTAATTCATATTTTGAATCAAAAATTTAGATTATTAATTTCTAAGAAAGCACGTTGACATATATCCTTAGCCCATTTCTCGGGAAATACATTTAAAATAAGATCTACATAGCGAATGCTAGAAGATATTTGATTTTTATAGAAAGCACGTTATCGATGTTTTGTAATCTTTTGAAAAATTGAGTGAGATCCTAAAATTTCTCTATGCTACCTTTTTTCTACATCAGTTTATCTAAATCAACATGGGAAACCTATTTTTCAGGTTCTCCCAATACCACTTACACAGGCTATATGGTTCCCGAAACAACTAATGAAGCAAGTTACTATATAAACGCCGGTATTGCCGTCAATTTTAACGAGGGCGTTATTGTTATCAACAATGCAAATGCTGCAGCCGATCTTCTTATCGAAGATTCCTTTTTCTATAACTGCAAGCGAAATTATGCAGGTGGAATTGCATTTTTCAGAGCAAACGGAAGCTTCGCGGCAGCACGTTCCTGCTGTTGCAAGAGCTCATCAATGTCGGAAGTGTATACAGGCGCAGCATTTTTCGTCGATATAACCCGAAATGTCACAACAAATTTTGTTACATTTATCGAATGCACTCCAACAAATTACCCTTCGATATCAACAATCGCATTTAGAGCTTCATCAATAAATGTCAAAAGCGTTAATTTTTCAAAATGCAGCTGCATGGCTGCCGGCTCTGTTGGATATGGCTCAATATCCTATACAAACTTCGAATCCGCGGTCTGCGCGATCGTCCCTCAGGTCTATCTTATAATCCTTAATTACACAGATATGTCTTATTGCAATTTTGCCAACAATTCAATGGAAGTCGCTACTTCAGTTACCGCCATCTACTGCTGCCAGAGCACGGTTGAAATTCTCCTTTCGAACACATGCTTCTTTAATAATGTTGCTGATTATGTTACATATTACTACAGAAAGCCCTTAGCGACCTACCTATTCCGCATGGTCGACTGTTATGTCGACCGCGGATACGTCGAATGCAGGGATACAGTTAATGTTGTTTCATTAAGTACTACTCAGCAGTTCACTTTCTTATCTTCTTACATTTGTGAGGCCGCATATACACCAGAGACAGACAACAGAATATCCGATGCTGCCAAGACCGCTGCAATCGGTGGCGGAACCGTCGGCGGCTCAATTTTAGTTGCTGTAGGTGTTTGGGTCGGAAAGAAGGTATTAGGAAAGGCAGCGACCAAGGCTATCGGTTCTGCAGTGGCCGATGATGATGAAGACGATCAGGATTATTATTATTCGACTTATTCTGAAGATACTCCTGAAGAAAAGGAGGAAGAAAAGAATAAGAATGTTCCTGCTTCATCTACAATTAAGGATGAAACAGCTTCCATTCCAGAAAGCCAAGAAAAGAACCAACTTCAGCAAGAAAATGAAAATTCAGACCAAGGAGATATACCTTTAGCAAAAGACGATGATTGATATTGATGTATTTGTTTGTATTTTGTTTGTTTTTATTAAATAGATATGTTATGAAATGATATTTTTTGCCATAAAATATATTCTACTCGCATTATCACTAATTTTAATGATTCTCTTATTAAATTCATTCTTTCTTTTAGGCAAACAATATTATTTTATATGTTCTCATCATGATTTACCTTTGTGATTTTTGGAAGAAATTTTTCAAATGCTGATATAACATAAAAACAAGCAGAATACATCATTGAATTAAGGAGAATACAAAGAAAATATTATAATTTATATCAGTTTCCCTTTATTAATTTTTTTAATAAATATATTTTGATGATTATTAGGTATGGCATGAATGTATCAGTAGTAAATAATATGTTAATAAAATATATACTACTGAAATAGCGATATATCATATGATTTAAATGTAATGATTATCGAAAAATAGAAATTTCGAGTTTTCATATTATATTTCCAGTATGAAATCAACTTATTTCTTCACTGTAATGTTCTCTTTAGAATATCACAATGTCTCTCATACATCCCATATAAAATATAATCGTTTAGTAAAAGATGTCGTCTGAAGTTGGGTCAACTCTTTCGACTCCATTCGTTTTTTTACGACCAAAAAATAGACGTGATGTACCTCCTAAAAAAGCACTCATGACGGCAACAATACAAAGCTTGCTTAAAGTTGCTTGCAGATTATTCAAGAATTATGGTGAAGTAAAAGCCATTTATACGGAATCTGGTGAGCTTGTACAAGAAATTTCTCAAATTATTCCGAGTGCAACTTATTACGTAACTTCAATTTCTCCTGATTTTTCAGAAACACAAGATAACACAGCTGTTGCTAATTCTCCAGCCAAATCAGAAAACCCACAAAGCCCTGGAAAGATCAGAGCTACAACTTCATACAATCTTCTATTTGGCTCCGGAACTGAATTTACTCCTGAATATCGCCAACAACAAGAAGAGCAAATTCGTCGCGAAGAAGAACAGAGAGCTAATGAAGAGAAAGCCGAAAAGGAAAGACAGCAGAAATTAGCAGAAAAAGCAAATCAAGAAAGACAACAACAATTCCTTAAGAAATTCACAAATAAGAAAGCAGAAGAAAGAAGACTGACCAAAGCATCAAGAGCTTCTAATGCAAAAAGAGAATCTACTGCAAGTGAAAGCCAGAATAAGCCTTCTGTTCTTGAAGACGAATATGATGACTACTATTACGACGATGACTATAATTCTCCAATCAAATCACAGCAAGCAGGCAAATCAACGAAATCATCAGGAAAACGTCAACAATTAATTACTCCAGACCAGCTAAGAAAGAAGAATGCAGCTTCTAAGCAGAAAAGCAATATACCATCAGCTCAGAAAAGAGCTAGCGATACTACAGCTCTTATTTCAACTAAGAAACCAAAATTTTCAGACAAACCACGTCGTCAAACAGATGCACCTCGCCTTCAAAAGAATTCTCAAGCAAGTTCTCGCCAGAGTTCTACATTGGATCCTCAAGATTACTACGATGATGATTATTACGACGACGATTACTATGATGATGACTATTATGACGACGAATATTACGATTACGTAAGTCCCAAGCGCGGACAGTCCCAGCCAAGTCAGAAATCAAAAGTTTCATCAGGATCAAAGAATTCAAACACCCCAACGAGGTCAAAGATGTCGGCCGGACAATCTCCAAAGAAGGGACGTGGCTCAGAAGCCTCTCAAAGGCCAGGAAAACAAACATCTCAAAATAAGCCTCCGAAACAAAGAGCTTATTCAACAGCCAACGTTGTTTACGACGAAGATGAGGATGAAATCCTTAATCCAAGAGAAAAATCTTCAAGAAGTCCAACAAATAAAACAAATCGTCGCGGATCTCCAAAACGAGCCATGACAGATGCTTACGAAGCCCCACAGAATGATGAGGAAGACGAATTAATGGTTGCCCGTGAAAGAGGAATCAATTCTCCAGGCAAATCTCATAATAGAAGAAAATCTCCAAGCAAACGCTCAAGTTCTGCGACCAACAAAGACTCCAACGATGATGGCTTCGAATCAATCCCATCATCCCGTAATAAATTCGACAGAACTCCAAATTCAAAAGATCAATACTTAAATCAGTCTCAAAAACGCTCATCCAAGGTCAACATCATTGATGAGGAAGAAGATCAGTTCGAATTCGAAGCAGAGAAGAAGCCAGCTGCCAAAGGAAATACAGATTCAGACGAAGCAGCTTTAGCTCGTTCCCAAGAGATCCTCGAGATGGACGAAATGAACGACCAATTTATTTTCGAGGAAAATGGTTCTCGTACATCGAGTCTCGAGATGTTATTAAAAGAAATGTTAAATATCGAAGAAATTCCGCAGCCATTTGTCAAAGCGTTGAAGGCGATGAAGGCCCGTGATAGGAACTTCATCAAGACCACTCCATTCTTAGAATGTCTCCAAGAAGAGAACTGGTTCAGATTAAACATGAATCTTGTCAGACAACAGCTCCCTGTAGATTCGCATATCTCAATGATCGAATTATTGAAGACACATGCGATCAAGAATATCGCTAAGCATAGATTTGCTATTCCTGGCGGATCATCTTATCAAATTAAGACAGCGATCGTCGGACCACGCCATTCCGGTAAATCTACATTCCTTTCTATATACGCTGAATCATTGCTTTGCGATTTAGTTGCTACAAACATGTACAAGAAGACATTTGTTTTTGCCGTTAATGTTTTAGCCATCAGAGGCTTCTGCTCAACATTCGAAGGCCTTTATACAACAATTATTGACCTCTGCATCGACTATTTGGCCGCCCAAAGACCTCTTGTCACTGAATACATTCCACAGATCAGAAAACTCTTTACAAATGTTGTCAAAACCGCCAAAAGTTTTCCATCCATTCCAATTTCCTCCAAATTGTATCAGGACCAGCCATTGTTCGCCCAGGCACTCTGCAAGATCGCAAAAACAGTTTGGATGATTTTCAACGATGAAACCGCTTTGACACAATTTTTGACAACTGTTTTTATGTTGCCAAGAATGTTTGCAACAGCCGCCGGCTTCAGCGATGTCTTGTTCATCATCGACAACTTCGATTACGCGTCATTTGACATCAACGATGACACGAAATTCACGAAATCGAACAAAGTTTTCACTGTCGAAGAATATTGGAAATTCTCGCTCCGAAACTCGAATTTCGTGATTTCCTGCGAGTCAGATGACCGCTTCTACACAATCCTCGAGCCATTGATCGATGGAGGCGTAGATCTCTCGAACGGAATCGACTTTGTTTCGACCATCGGAATGTCAGATGACAACGACGACGGAGTTGTGATCAAAGTCGACATTGAAGGTCTGAAGAGGCCATTCACGTTCACGAGAGCTCACTGCGGAGGTGTCGTGGCGTTCCTGCACACGTGGGAGGAGCTGAACGAAGAGTTCACGAACTACGAGATGACAGAAGAAGACTCAATAGAGAAAGAGGAAATGAAGTTGATGTTAGTTTCATTGACTCAGACCGTCATCGACGATTTGTTCGTTAATCCTAACCCTGCTTCTGAAGAAGAGGCAAGGCAAAATGCTATACTTGTTACTGGTGTTCGTAGAGATGTTCATTAATTCATTAAATATTAAAAAAAAATAATTTATTGTACTATTAATGCGATTTTCTTTTAATCTGGTGATAATTTAAGAGGAGTTCTTCCTTATGAGATTGCAATTTTATCGTATATTAGTTTGATGTTCACTGGAGAGAAGTTTTTTTATTCACATCTTTTATAATAGTGTTTAATATTAGATCGCATTATTCAATTTTTTTAGTTAGTTAGGGCACGCTGAATTGAAGTTTCTCCATTTTCATTTCTTTAAATCTATATAGAATTGCAGGTTTAATATAAATAATAGCATCATATTTTGTTTAGTTTTCTGAAGAAATAATATTAATGATTATTATTAGAATCAAAAATTTTTAAGAAATCAATATTACTCAAGGCAAAGCGTGTCTCCATCCCGAATGTTGTAAGATCCTAACGTTCTGTGGCTTTGAAGTATCTGGTTATTAAATGTAACTAACATTATATCAGTCGCAAAACCAAATACTGTAAATTTTGATTTCAAAGTACCTATGGTTTCTCGTTTTTTTGCCTGAAATCCTTCCATACTTCCCCAAGAACCGAATATGTTAATTTGTAAATCATAAATCACTGGATCAGTTTTAACCATTGACGAAATTGTACAAAAATTTCCATTAATTTTAAAATTTTTGGAAAGTGACAAAATTTAAATAAGTTTTAATGAAAAAAGTTGTTAAGACTTTTTTTCCATTAATATCAACGTTTTCACAATGTTTTACTATGAAAAGAGTTGTTCATCAAACATGTGTAAATGTATTGGTGAAGTTTTCACTCCGAAACTGTAGCATTTGATTGAGTTAAACAAGCTCCAATATTCACATCTTTTTTTCCAATTTCAAAAAGTGACAATCACAGATATCAATGCTGAAGACAAATACGGATGTACCCCTCTTCATTATACAGCCAGACATAATAGTAAAGAAACAGCCGAAATTCTTATTTCAAATGGAGCAGATATCAATGCTAAAACTAAAAATGGATTGACCCCTCTTCATTATGCAGCCAATAATAATAGTCAAGAAACTGCAGAAATTCTTATTTCAAATGGAGCAGATATCAATGCTAAAGAATTATTTTAACATGTTTTAACATGCTTCGCGACTAAAAATATTAATTTTCTATTCTTATCAAGAATTCATTAATATAACAATGATCATATCATCAAGGTTCAGATGTTCATTTTTAATTTTATATGTATAAAATAACACATGTAAATCCAAAAATATCATCTAAATTTGAATCACAATTTGAAATATACTAAATTTCAAAAGGAAACATTTTATTTATATGTTACTTAACACTCATGTGCTTATTCTCAAAAATATTCAGAATAATTTTATTATTTTTAACTTTGAATTTTTATTATGATTTTGTTCATTCATATGAATACATTCGTACAAACTATCGTTGTATGATAAATTAACATTTTTTGTGATTTTATCGTATTATTTGCTTGTCTTCTATAGATTAAATATTTCAATTGTCATTTCAAGATATCAATTCAGAAAATTTATTTTAAATAAGTGTGACTAATTCCTTCTTCTACAAATTTATTTCAAAATTCAGTAAATCAATTAAATTTTTTTGTAATATCCAGCAAATCTGCTACTATACAGTTAAAATCTGTGATATATCATGAAAGGAGTTCATGACTTGTGTATTCACCAATTACTCAATTATTTAATTAATTAAAAAAAAATCTTCTCCTTACAGTATACGGAAAAAGTGGGTCTTAAAATCATTTTGGGTCTTATTTTTAACCGCAAAATTCCCACAATTTTGAATACTTTGGCAAAAAACTTGCAAAAACATAGCGTCTATATACTATGTATATTAAGATTTTGCAAAGTGTCAAAAAATAATTTTTTTTTTTTTAAATTTTAGGGAGTTCGAAAAAAGTAATGATTGTAAGAGATGGGAAGTAGTTACGCTTGAAGTCGGAGCGGATATGAAAAGAATTTGTAGAGGCGCATATCTTGGTATGCAAAATTGAGACACTGTGTTGAAATCTACAAAATTCAAAATCTGACACAAGTCTCTCTGACCATATTAGACTCGTATTCTTTCTCTGTTGTATGAGATTTAATGAAAATGCTCGTTAATAGATACACATTTATTTAAAAATGATATCCGTTATTAAATCATATGCTCTGTGGACGCAGAAACTTGTGTTTTCGACTTTGTAAGTTGGTAATGAGCGATACGAATGGGTCAGTTTTGTTAGTAAAGTAATCTGTGAAAAAATCGTTAATTGAACAATATGTAATAATATTTGAAAATGAAGTAAACAGTATACTGAAATGTGCAGTATTAAGCGACTCTTTGACCTTGTAAGTTTTGATCAATTATGTAGCTGAAGGTATATTTGCAGGTAAGCAAGTTTGGGGAAAAATCTTATAGCTAAAAATAAAAATTGTATGAAATAATTATGTGGTTCATTTGCTAACGTGCTTTATTTTTGGGGTCGGAAAACCCAGGTTCGAATCCGAATACATCTTATTTTTTCTTTTTTCATTATATCAATAAATTGTATTATCCCAAGAATTATTTTAATAAGAATCAATTTGGAATTTGATCCATGAATAATATATTTCGTATTTAAATACTCATATTTTTGTAAAATAATCTTTTTGGTTATATTACAATCAAATTACAAAACAGTTATAAGATTTTTAATCCTAAATTCAAAATATTTGAACTTTGATCAATTTTAAACAATTTTGAGAAAGAAATATTGTTAATCGCTTAATATTCTTATGTATATAAGTTGATTATGCAGCTTGTGTCAAAATCCAATTTTTAATACCAATCTCATTTATTTTCAAATTATTTTTATTATTATAATCATGAGATCTGGTATTATATGAATAACATCACATTTCAACATAAACGTGAATAAATTTCAAAATTGCAAAACAATCACCTCAATTTCTCTATTTATTCATATTAACTTATTTTCGATATACCCATTTAATTAGTTTCATGTATGTTAGCATGTGACAATAGATATTTGAAGCTTAAATAATGGATTGCCGAAGAAATTAACAAAAAATTCTTATATTTTTGATTTATGATCATACAAACATAACAACTTACAACAAATATCATTATAATACATAATTACCATAGTTGTATCTCAAATTAAAAATAATATTATATTTGGATATTATTCTCAATAATTTTCAATTTTGCTTTATATGAGATTCAAACAGACCATTAGATACATGTTATAACCAATCAATATTTTCATAAGAATAAAAATTTTTTAGAATATTGTTTTATGTTTTTTATAATTTACAGTCTATTTGTATCTACCTATCTTAAAATACATTTTATGTTTGTAATCGCTCTTCCACCTATAACAATATAGAACAATTCTGAAAATTTAAATGTTTTGATATGGATAATTCAGTTATACCAAGATTGACTAAGTCTCTTGGTATGAATAGTGAACTTGAGAACATTCATTGATTCATATTAATAAATTTGAGTCAAATTCACAAAATTATTATTAGAAAATTTAATTTATTCAATATATATGAGTAAAAACAGTTTACTTGTTTCTTACTAATAGCAATCTTCTATTTATTTTTCAAGTATAAAAAAAAGAAAAAAAGAAATGTGTGGCACTTAATTCGAACTCGGAACCCCAAAAATAAAGCCAATCCGGCGGTTTTAACCGTTAGACTACACCTCAATTTCATACGATGTTTATTTCACAGATATTTATGCAGCCCACCCTGTCAAAAAAATAAGACCAAAAGTGAGCTTAAGACCCAAATTTTCCGTATACTGTTAGAAAGGAGATGCATTATCCCTTCTGCTACGAAGCTTCACGAAAATTCTTAAGAATGCTAAAGAACTTTTTTTTCATCATATGAATTCAGAGTTAAAAACAAAATATTATAATAAATATATCACAAAAATTCGTATAAGATTTTTAGACAGAATCATTATCATTGACAACGCCTCTCGGTGTCTTTCTAATTGTATTAACGATGACTTTAGACTTTCCATCATTAACTACCTTCTGAGTTATCAACTCAGCCTTAGAACCACTAATTCCAGAGTCCTTGATGACAATCTTCTTGTGCACTTTCTGTTTCCTTCCCTTCTTGTGGTGGTCGTTGTCATTTGTATCCATGTAACTTGGTGCTTCTTTTCCACGTGCGAGTTCTCCTCCGTCATCAGTAGTATCTGAAATAGAGAAAGTCTCTGTTGCACTGACTTCCTTTGCGTTTGTAGATACTTTGAGTTTTGGAGGAGGAAGAGGAGGCTGATACGAAATGTTGTCAGCGGCACGACTTCTCGCTTGCATTGGAGGAGCATCAGAAATTGTAGTGAGATCATCGTCATCAGGCAAATCCTTCTTAAGAGGATTGTGGTCTTGGTTACGCGGCTTCAAAGGTAATCTCATCGCGTAGTTTTTCGGTGGCAAATTCAAGTCTCTCTCGCGTGCAGGCAAACCGAAGGAAGAGCCCTCGAAAGCACCGCCTCCGTATGATACGTTGCCACCTCCGCCTCCAAGCTTCTTTGCGGAGATGACGCCGTACATAGGAAGTTGTGGGAATTTGAGTGGCGGCGGTTTGACTTTTTGGACTGTATTTCCTTTGTTTCTCTTTGCGCCGCGGTCGTAGAACTGTCTGAAGAAGTCTCCGATTGCGACAGAGAAGTTCCAGCCGATTTGTGGTGGATATGTGATGTTTTCGATCAGATTTCCATCATAAACTTTTCTGAATTCTTGTGGATGAGAAAGAATGAAGTTGAAGACCTGGGCAACGGCTGTGGCTGTCTTCTCTTGGGATGGAGCGGAATAAACAGGTAATTCGTCGGCTATGTCGCCGAGAGAGAAGAGAAATTCTTCCATTGTTGGGAGAACATGCTTAACAATGCGTTTGTTGGCGGATGCAAATTGATCTGGAAGTACTGCACCACGGAAAACGAATTTGAGCATGTTGCTGATCGTTTTGAGAAGTTCTGGATTCTTTGGAGTGTAATCTTCGAAAACTTGGGTTGGTTTGGCAATGACTTCGCATACAAATGTGATGCCGAAGATGGCGCCGAGGAGAAGATAGACGAATCCACGTGAATTAAACTTCATTGCGGCGTATGAGCGGAGAATTGAAGCGAAATGACGAATCTGAATTGGAATGTATTGAGAGGACATTGTGATGTACTTGATTACTGAGAAGAAAAGCTTTTCGTCAAGTTTAGAATGAGAATCAATATAAACAACGAGTTTCTTCATGAAATTGTTGATGTAATCTGAAACAAAACGCTCGTAAAGTGCCATTGTGAAGCGGCAGAAGAAGTTACGGCCGGAAATAACCTCCATTGGGTTGCAATTATCATCTTCAAGGATGAAAGAGGCAACAGATGCGAAAACTGTATGAACCTTGCGGCTGTGGAGGGCAATTGTAAGAAGAGCGTCGGCAATTTCGTAAGGAGCGTCAAGTAACATGCATGTACGAAGAACTATGAGGTCGTTGGCAATGCATGTCTCGTAGAAGGCGTTGTAAACAATATCTGGAATGTATGTATCGATTTTTGTAAAGAAATAAGGGAATGGAACCTCTTTCTTTTCTGTTTTATCGCTGGACTCTTCTTCTTCATCACTGCTGTTCTCACCCTTATACAAATGTGTCCATAATGGAACAACTTCTTTGTCAAGTGGTGTAAAATCAGCAATACGACCTGCATCGCCCTTTACAATGACGCTTTCCTCATTCTTTGACATAGCACAGGCTGATACAATGCCTTGAATCTTTGTAACAAATGTACTTGTCTTCTTATCGTATCCAACAATGAAGAATTCGTTTGATTCGCGAAGAATGTATGCCCAATGGCCAGACTTGCCCTTGAACTTGCAAGGAGAAGCGGCAAGAAGAACTGGATTTTGAGCTGTTGGTTTGTTTGTCCAAACCTTTGGGAATAATACCCCTGAGAAGAATCTGAGCATTGCTGTTGGGTCATTAGCCTCAGAAACCATCTTAATTAAGATAGCAGCTAATGGCTCCATTGTATTTGAAATTCTTGGAATTGCAATAGGCCAAGCATTTGCAATTTGGAAGCAAGCCTTTTGTGGAATTTGTTGTGAAAGATATTGCGTGTAATCTACAATAGTTTGTGGTGGGCTGAAGACTTGTTCGCGTGGGACGTTATTAAATTCGTTTACAAACATTTTGTAAGATTCTGTGATTGGGATCTCCATATATGGTGGTATTTCTGAATAGCGAGGTGTTTTGAGGAATTCAGCAACTCTGTTGCCTAATTCTTCGAATAATATAATTGGCTGGTTGTAAATATCATTAAGATACTGGCATGGTGCAACTCCTGCCAGAACATCTTGATGAGATTTACGCTCATCGGCTGTTTGTGTTTGTTGTTCAGTCGGTGCAGCGCTAGACATTTTTTATTAAAAACTTTTTTTTTCAGTTATGCGTTAGAAATGGAGTTATGATTTACAAATTTTCCTCCCTTTCAATGTGATTGAAAGATCATAAAAAGGAATATAAGTATACATGCTTAACATATAACTTTGCAAAAAGCCATTAGAATAGGCAAAATTTTAAATCAATATTGATTATCTTATTTCTTTCAACTTGAATATCACAGAAGATGATTGGTGATATCTGATTTCATTCGTTTTGAATTGAGTTGTTACTACGTAAGTTGATTGTTTCAAGTGAATCACATTCCCAATTTTTTCGCCAAAATCTAGGAAATTCTGAAGGTAGAAAGGCAAGTGTTGACTGGGATACAAAATTCGGACTGATGTTATCGAGATATAAATAATTTATAAGATACTTTCGAAATATCATAAGAAAAAAAAAAAAAAAAAAAAAAAGGGAGTGGGGCCTCCAGGCACTTCGTGCCCTCTAGCCCCAAAGATGTTTAGTATGCAATGAGGTATAAAATGAGGTTTTTTTTTGGTGTTGTCGGGCTTCCAGGGGCTGCGCCCCTTCTAGCCCTTAAAATTTTTGAAAGTCGTTGCTGTTGACTTTTCGGTAGAGGACTCAAAATAGTATAACTATGTCCGGACAAGTAAGGGTCTATCGTCGCTACAGTAAAGTTACGGGCGTTCAAAAGAAGTATACTTTGAGAGACTCTTTAGAAACTTTAGACGTTGTACATAACCATCCATGTTTTTACTTTACATCCGATAAAAGTGGTTTGGAAACCGTTATGAGATGGTTAGAGGACATACATGACTATGAGTTTAGATACGATAAGATAGAATATGAGAGAGGTCCTATAAACCGGAGAAAGTGTCATATAAACATCTGTCAAAAGCCTCTTTTTAACTTCACTTAAAATGTCACGTAAGCTACGTAAGAATATACGTAAGAGGAAGAGAGCATTGAAACATCCAATAGTAAAACTAACACCACAACAACAGTTGCAACAACAAATGCTGAATGACCCCACTATGTTGCAACAAATGTCAAGCAACCCTATGCTTTTAAACCGAGTTTTTGGTGCACAGAGTGGAGGTTTAAGAGCGGCACTTTTAGCGAAAATGGCAGGCTATGGTGGAGCCGCAGACGGAACAGCCTATAACCCTCAAAGTCAAATGAATTTGAGTTCACTCAAAAATCAAATAGCAGATGTCAAAAAGTCAAACATAGACATACAGAAGCAAATAGGTGAAAACGAAAAGAAACTAGAATACGACAGACACACAAAGAAACTCAATGAGTTAAACGTAGAGAAAAAGAAGAAAGAAGAACAACTGAAAGAACTAAGTACAGAGGAATATGCGAAAAAGTGTCAGAAAAAGCAGCAGAAGTAGCAAAAATGGAACAAGATGTTGTAAATTTGAAAAACCATACTACTCAATATAAAGTACTGAAAGATGAAGAGATAAAACAAAAAGCCCTGAAGACATATATGGATAGCGATGAGTATAAAAAAGAAGTTGAAGCAAATGTAAAGGCAGAAAAACTTTTACAGTTGCAAAACCAAACCGTACAGTATGAAAACTTAGCACAAGAAAGTAAAAATAACGACGCGGCTATGCAAAAGGCAATGAAAAGCGCAGAATATATAAAAGCTAACAATGACTGGTTAGATGCCCAAGCCAACGCTAAAGCAGCTCAGCTTATAGGGTCAATAAGGACAAAAATACAAGCGGATGAAGACAGTTCAAATGAAGCTTTAACAAATGCTGACTTTAAGAACGCCTTCGAAGCTCTTCATAGTAAGGTGAAACAAGTGAACGACTTCTCATCTGAAAAAACTGAAGTCTGAAGGTTTCGACAACGAGTTAAGAGAAGTAGCACAAAATATGACGAAAATAACAGATGCAGCAACGAGACAGGCAGTTCAAAGTGCCTATGACGCCGTTAGAGCAACTGTTGTGGAAAGTCAAGAAAAAGAGTTACAACAGACCAAAACAGACCTAGTAAATGCTTTCTTAAAAACGAAAAGTCAGGTAGGACACTATGCTGCAGATGGAACATATGTGCCAGCTGGTGGAACTTATATACCAGCTGGTGGAACTTATATACTAGCTAGTGGAACCTATATACCACCAAACCCTCCAAGAGAAGCACCTGCACCAGGACTACCTAAAACATTTACATCGTCACATGGACACAGACACAGGCATGCACCAAAACCAACACAACAACAACAACCAGCACAACAACAACAACCAACACAACAACCAGCACCACAACAACAACCAGCACAACAACCACCTCCACAACAGCACAGCAACAACCACAACAGAGCAAGGACATAAAAGAAGTAGAGAACAAGGAAACCAAAGAATTCTTAAAAATGCTTAAAGAAGACTATGGTTACCCAGATACTCTTGACTTTAGTGACAGATATAAAGAAGCTATTAGAAAGTTCAAGGAAGGAAATACTGACCGAACCTATTTAGCTTTATGGCTCAGCACCAAATGGATATAATTTCAAACCTGGAAAATACAAGCTCGCTAAGGGATATGATTTAATAGCATATCATCCAAATGACATGAACGAATTTACTCCGAGATATTTGGTGTCAGAGCTAAATGACAATTCAACTCTCTTCATGAAACGCGTAAAAAATAGAGACGGAACGAAAGAAGAAAGGTTTATGAGTCCGGATGACTTAGATAGGGAACTTGTTAAAAACGGTCTCGGAATATATGAAATGCCAGCAGATGAGGTACAAGAAACTCCACAGGAAGAAGTTCAGATACAACCAGACATGGAAGAAAATAGTTCAGCAACAACAGCTAGAAGAGCCTGAAGGAAACGAACAAGTCCCTCCTTTGGAAACTAACTTCACAGAACTAGATGAAGATTTGGAACAGCCGAAAAATCTTGACCCTCAACAAGAGTATGAGGTGAATATGGAATCTTTCCAAGAGTCTAAAAAAAATTCGGCTGACATAGTAGAAGAATATCGAAAAATGTTTGCCGACATACAAAAGACTCCAACACCAGATGAAAATATTCAGCATAGAATGGAAGTACTGAAAGAAAATGTACGCAAATACAACAACCCTTTTTACTTACGAGCATTTAACGTTCAATCTTTGGATGAACTCGGTGAAAATAAAAGGTTAAATTTCAACAAAACATATAGAAATGAAACATTGTTTAAAGTTCATTCAGAACCTAACCAAGATGGAAACAAACCTACTTTTGTTTCTGCAGACTATGGAACTACAATGAGATGGGGTCATAAAGCTAATCCGGATAGGTGGTTCATAAACTTACAACCACAATTCCAAGAAGTTGTAGACGCAATGGAAGTGAATGGTGAACCAGATATAGCTGGTATTTTAAGCGCGGCTTTAATGCCATTGAAAGATATGAAAGATGCAGATATTTTGGACCAGTATGAAATGAACATGGCTGATGGAAATATAACACCTGACGTTCTAAAACATTTATCTCAAAGAACTACACAGAACCATAGAGATGGTATATTTGGTGAAGAGTTTAGAAAGAAAGTTAGGGAGAGAGAAGGAAGAGAACCTATTGTACATGACCTTGCAAACGAAAAGTTTGCAAAATGTCATAAAAAACTTACTTTGCAGACAATAACCGAGAAGGGATGAATATTTAAGAAAACTCAAATGGACAGTCCAAATGAAATGTTAGTATTGAAAAACATGTTCCTTGACAAAATAAAACCAACTACAGAATAAATGACGCAAGACTGAAACTTTGGGTAAAAGCTTTCCATTCACAAAAGATATTGTTGGTAAATGGAAAGAAAACCAGAAATGGCTACAAAAACATATATTTGGAAACGAGCTTATTCCATATGGACAAGCTCTGTTTGAAGAGCTTGAACCGGAAACTCAGGAAAGAGTCATGCAAACAATACGCGAAGACTCAAATACAAACTATGACAAAATCTTTCTAGGATATAGGTTACCTGAGATGGGCGACCAGAGCCCAAAGGCAAAAAGGACATGGGAAATTTACAACATACTAGGTGAACATGAGGCAAAGATGCAACAACTTGAAGCAGAGGGCAAGTTACCAAAAGCGACACCAAAGAAGAAGAGAAGAGTAGAAACAAAGTGAAAGTAGTGAAGAAGTAACTTCATCTAGTGAAAGTAGTGGCAATGAAGGAAAAAGAAGAGTTAAAACTCAGTCAGGAAGAAAGTAAAAGCTTGGTCCACGTGGGTTCTATTATGACACATAAATCCAACTATTCTATATTTTTACACATATGAAATGTACGCCGCTCAGAATATAACGCCAACAGTTTTGGATGCCATGAATGGAAATGTTTCCGAATGGTATAACGAATGCGACAATGCCATTAGAAGGTCAGAAATAGTTCCTGGAACTTACGAATATACAACTGCTGTTTCTTATGGAAACGTAGGTGAGTTTGGAGAAGGTTCTTCAACAACAGTAGATATTGCTTGCGACAGGTTTCATATAATTTCTATTGACGACTCTTTCTTATACGTGGAACAAGACATTGAAATAAAACCTTCTGCCAAGTTGTCTGACAAGAAAGGTTGCAATGGAATTTTCTATGTCGGATACCAATATGCTCCAGAAGTTTTCATGGGATATAAGATATATTCTAACTCTGACTTAGTTCAAACAGTAACATGGGCAAACTATGAATGGTTCGCTTTAAGAAACTCAGTACAACCACAAGCTAGAGAACAAACAGACCAGTATGCAACTATTGAGAAAATAAGAAGACTTGACCCTAACGTTCCAGGAGTTTATGTTAACCTTTCTGGACAAACTGCAGCAGCAGTAACCAAAGTAAAAACTGAAACTTAGAGTCGCCTTTGTCATCTTTCCTCATCTTCAGGTTTTTAAGATACTTGCCAAACTGGGCAGAAAAATTTCTATCGAACTTACTCCAAGCAAAAATAACTTAGTCATTGCACCAACACAAGACCCATTCACTCTTACAGAAGTAGTGGGAACAAATAAAATGTCATTCGCCGACTTTTGCAAAGACAAAGTTGACTTAGACTTTGGTTTCTCAAACCTCAACACTGAAGTAAACTATTATTTCAATGCTGCTGGAGATGCTTGGGACCCAGTTAAGTTCACATGCGAAAAATTTGAATGCAAGAGAATAGAAAGCAGACTTGCAGTCTATATGTTGGACCCAGATATTCAAATGCTTTAGCTGCCAAATATATTGCAGTTCCACTTATGTTCCCTATACACCAAATATCTGTCAAAGACTTTGCAGGTGAAGTTGGAAACCAAAGTGCTGACCCAGGTGCAAGAACAGATATTGCTTTAACAACTGCAATGAAACATGCAGATACTATGTTTGTACTGTTTCAGCGAGAACTATAAATGACTATTCTTGTTTCTACAAACCCCGGTATTAAATATCATATAAACATAGATGGCAAATATTATCCAAGAGAAGAATATTCCACAGTTGAAGATATGAGGTCATACAACTTGACATTAGATGCTATGAACTTTAAACAACAACTTACAAACAACCATTAACCCTGAAATGCAAAGTTCTATTATGCCATATGTGAAAGTATGGAACTCATACGGGAGTCAAAAAACTCAATATACAAATAGAGACCGTTCAAACTTTTGGCTTGGCATTCCATTTGCTGACTCAGAAGACTTTATGGGTGGTATTTCAACTGTTGGTACTGTACAAATACAATATACTGGTGACAGAGACGGTCCAGATGAATTGAAAGCAAAGAAGTTTACAAAACCAATAGCACTTTTCACGGAAGATGCTCTTTTGAAGATTCGTTCGATGAAACCTGCTGGAGCTCCTCAGATTGGCATAACGACAGCTTCCATCGAGGCAGATTTTGGCAGCAGGTCAGTAAGTTGTTCTTGAACTGACTTCTCTCCGTCAAATATTGACAGTACGCCAGTTTTGACATAAAATTGTATTATAAACTTTCCTTTAGAAATATCGGTCAGTTTTGTTGTTATATTTTGTCTGCTTCAAGAACTTTCACCATTTCGCGTTATTACCAACTTTCTTTGCTTTTGTATGAAAATATTTGGTTCAGCAAAGACTGCTATTCTATAACATTTTCCATTGTTTGTGTAAAGAACTATTCTGTCAATGTATTTGTATTGTTTGTGTGTGTAAACTTTGTTTTGCTTCAATTCGAAGAGATACTCGAAAGTCCATATTTTTATTCGAAGTAAAATGTCATTTCCGAAAAATAGAAGCGGTAAGTGTTTCAAAAGGTTTAATGGCGTGGCAGATGTGAAGTTAAATTCACCAACTCAAACAAACAGTCAAAGTGTTGTTGTCAATGTCAAAGACAGAGATGTTGAAGTGGGGAAACCATACGAAGACGAAGATGGTATAACAATAGTTCCTGTAAAAGAACAACCAACATACCCTGAAGTTAGCAGAGAGTTAAGTTCTGTTGCAGATATTCGAAACGACTACCAACAACTTAAAGACAAACTTAAAACTCAGGAGAAGATTTGTCAAGCTTTAGGTATAATGTTAAACTTGGTCGAACACAACCCTGTAAAAGTGAACTCATATGTCATTGCACCTCATGAAGTTTTGAAAGAACTATTGAAACTTTTGACAGAGGCAGACGATATAAACATCAAAGAAATAGAACCCGACATTGCTTGCTGTGGTGTTTCATATAATGTCATTGACAAGATATACGTTATGAAAGGAGGTGAGACGTTGAACTTAAAATATAGTTTCCCAGACGTTATAAAAATATTTGACGACCACAACATTTCATTAAAATTTAGTTGCTAAGTAAATGGCAGAAGACATAGTGGTTTATACTATTACGACTAAAAACCCTGAGTCATATAATTCTATAACAACAAACTTACAAAGTCCTCAAGGACGATATTGTAAACTAACCTTAAACACAATGACGACTAAAGCCTGTTTTGCTCTTTTGACACCAGAAGACTTTGTTGTTGTGAATGGTAAAAAATACTTCTTTGAAGATACTTACTCAGATATACCACCAACAGGTTTTGTTGACTTATTTAATACTTTAAGGACGGATGTAACATGTGCTGCAACTAGAGCAGGTTTCATTATGTTTGGATGTCCGACTGAGTTTACTATAAACGATATGAGCTATAATACAAAACTTATATCTGGTTTTTACTACCAACAGTTTCCTATAACAGGAAAAGGTGTCATACAAGGTCTATCTGTTCCATTGACTTTAAGTACACCTATTTTATATATTGTTTCAAACTTAGGTTCAAAGTGCTATTCGAATGTCGACAGAAACTACTATGACCAAAAGATACTCATGCGTATAAACAACACATTCTCTGCTGGTTTGCCTATTGTTCATTCGAATGCAGAGTTTTCAGCTTTAGTAAACTCAAACACTTTAGCAAACATAAACTTAACCTTAGTCGACGCAAACTTTGTTCCTGTAAAACTTTTATGTCCTATGTATTTGTCAATGACGGCAGAAAGTTTCGAATTGGAAGATGCAACTGGTGAAAGTATTGTACTACAAGAACAACTTCAACAACAAATAGCTCAAGAACAACAAATGCAACAAATGCAACAAATGGAACAAATGCAACAACAAAGTCAAGAATAAAAAAAATATTTTTTTTATTTTTATAAAAATGTACAGAATAGATGTTTCAGATTTTTATGACTTCCAAGCCTTCAGAAATATGTGTCCATTTAGAGACTATAACAAAGCAGTCGAGAATTTGAAACGTTTAGTCATTTATGTCGACTCTGCCCCAGAATGTTATGTCATGAAAGAATGGGATGTTGTCTTTAACAAACCAAGAGCAACAATAGTGTCTGAACAAGAATGCAGACAGAAACTTAAGAAAATAAAAGTCGTACAAGTTGGTATGAAGATGTTAGATGCTTGGGATATCTTATTGTCAAAGTTAGAAGATTTTTCAGTTCGTGGTATAAAGTTCTATACACCTTCTCCAAACTTCTATTCTATCTTCACTGGATATAAATACGAACAAGTAGAATGGAAAGAAAATGTATAGAAGCTTGGTTAGACCACGTCAAAGAAATTATATGCAATGGAAACGAAAGAGTCTATGAGTATATCTTATGTTGGTTTGCAAACATCTTACAACATCCAAGTGCTAAAAATGAAACTGCTCTCATCATAATTGGAAAACAAGGAACTGGTAAGAACACTTTCTTTACAGATATCTTATGCAAACTGTTAGAGGGCTATTCGAATCCGAATATGACAAACTTAGAAAACATCTGCGGTAAATTTAACTCCTCAATAGAGAATATGAAACTTATAGTATGTAACGAACTTCAAAGTATAGATACAACAAAAGTTTTGAACTCAGATGCTTTGAAGAGTCTTATAACAGACAAAGTTGGAGTTGTTGAAAGAAAATATAAAGACCAAAGAGTTTGTGAAAATGTTGCAAACTTCGTCATGGTTTCAAACAATGCTGTTCCGATGAAGTTAGAAAGTTCTGACAGAAGATATGTAGTTGTCAAACGTCAGATTCTCATATGCAAGATACAGAATATTTTGACGACTTAGCAGAAACTTTGACATCTGACTTTTTACAACCACTTGTTCTCATATTTCATGACATTAGATATTTCTAAGTTCAATCCAAGACAAATTCCACATACCGAAGAGAGACAAACATTGTTAGAAGCAAACAAGAGTGTATATGAACTGTTCATAGATGAAACTGACTTTTGAGTGTTTAGATGAAAGGTCATTGTACGATTCGTATAAACAGTATTGTCAAGAGTATGGTTATATGACAGCGTCTAAACGAACATTCTTGGCAAATGTCAAAAGTCTTTTAGACGTACAGAATGGTGTATATACAAAGAAAAATTTTTCTGAGTAAATTTTAAAAAAAAATATTTTTTTTATCCGATAGAAAAGATGACGAAATTCATCTCAGTAAACAAGTACATGTCAGGACTTAAAGAAGAACTAGACCCATTCACATATTTGAATGTTTACTTCTACCATTTTGAAAAGTCTACATTTGACAAAGTTTGGAACATCGAACCGGTTAAGTTTGCTATTGTGACTAAAAATGGTGCGAAATTTGAAGACTTAGACATAGAAGGTTTGTTAACAGTCAAAGAAAGTTTTGACAGAAGGTTTTCAAACCTTAAAGAAGGCAAAGCATACAAACTTGTTATACCTTATGAACCAAAAAGACAGACGACTATGAATATTATGAGTCTAAGATAGTTGAAGTTCAAGGTAAATTGGGTAAAAAGATTTTAGAGTCTAAGCCGGTGTTTGCTCCTAAAGAGGAAGAGAACATTGACATTGACCAGAAATGTTCTAAAAAATAAAATTTTATTTTTACATGTCAAATTTCTTTTTCTCTGGTCTGGTTCTTTCTTCTCTTCTTCTACTTTCCTTTTCTTTCTTTTCTCTCTTCTTCTTTTCTGGTGGAGTTATGTCAAACTTCTCAGAACCATATTTTGTAAAAGTTCTTTGTCCTTTAATAGCTCTTCTATTCTGTTTTCTATTTCATCTTCAAGAACAGCGCATGTGTCTTCTTTGCATTCTAAGAACTTTTGTTGGACTTCATCTTTCCAATCGGCGTCATCTCTGTCAACAAGTCTGTCATGACAAATTTTAAGACTGCTCTGCTTAATGTTTTATGGTTCTTGTCATATTCCCAGAAACAGAACTTTAGAACAAATTCACCTTTCTTGTTTACACTATGTAAGATTTTATGGTCTACAGATGTTTTGCTGTCGAAAAGCTTGTCTCGAATATAGATGGCGAAATCGCTAGACATTTTCTAAAAGATAAAAGTTTTAATTTTTCTAAAAATATGTTAGAAAAAAAGTTTGCTGACATTGACAAGAAATTTGAGAATGTTTTAAATAAGAACAAGAGGAAGTTGGAAAATGCTCAGATAAAACCCATACATGACAAGTTCTTATTTGCTCAGAATGGTATAACAGGTCTAATTGCACCACCTGGGTCGGGTAAGACTTTCACTTATCTTAAAATGGCTGCACAACAACAAGAACTAGATGAGAAGAACCCATTCTATGAGTTAGTTGTTATTTGTAGTACTTCGGGTCAATTTGACCAAACCGTCAATTCGTTCAAAGATATTATAAAAAAGTCTAAGTTAGTATGTATAAAAGACTCTGAGTTGTTAGATTGGATAAAGAAGTACCAAAGAAGGTTTTGAAGTACAATGCTATAAATGAGTATATAAATTCGAAGTTTAAAGACCCAAATGAGGAAATGCAGAGAATATTAGAGAAGAAACACTTCAGAAACAAACAGAAAGAGATAGAATACATTTCGAAGAAATTGCAATCTTACGATTGGAAGACTTACCCTCATAGATGTCTTCTTATCTTAGATGACTTTGCTTCTCATCCTTTGTTAAAGAATAGAGAACAAGACATGTGTCGAATTCTTAAGAAGCTCAGACACTTTAACATTTCAGTTGTCATTTGTGTACAGACAGCCAAGAGTTTAAGTAAGGATGTAAAGAGAATACTTACTGACATTGTACTTTTCCCCGGATTGTCCGAAGACGATTTCATGGAACTTATGAAAGAGTCCATGGCAGGTAAGTTTGACAGACATGAACTATGGGAGAGGTACAAAGTCATACAAGACCCTCATACTTCTTTCAGAATTCATATCTACGCGAACAAAGTTCAAATTGTAAAAAGTCAAGCGTAAAAAATGTAAGTGTTGAGTCTTAGTCTGTTGTGGTGCTGGGGCTTTCGGTTCTTCTGGCTTTGGAATGGACTCGGTTGGTGGTACGTCAGCCATCCGTTTGTGTCCTGTCGGAAGGAAGAACTCGGAATGCCAGAAGGAAGAACTTTTCCTGTTGGAAAGAAAAATTTTTCCTGTTGGAAAGAAAAACTTTTCCTGTTGGAAGGAAGAACTTTTCCTGTTGGAAGGAAGAACTTTTCCTGTTGGAAAGAAAAACTTTTCCTGTCGGAAAGAAAAACTTTTCCTGTCGGAAAGAAAAACTTTTCCTGTCGGAAAGAAAAATTTTTCCTGTCGGAAAGAAAAATTTTTCCTGAAGGTCGGCCAAAAAGTTCTCAATTTTCGAAAATTTGAATGGTTTACGGACGGACAACTGGAAAAATTTTTCCTGTTGGAAAGAAAAATTTTTCCTGTCGGAAAGAAAAATTTTTCCTGTCGGAAAGAAAAACTTTTTCCTGTCGGAAAGAAAAACTTTTCCTGTCGGAAAGAAAAACTTTTCCTGTCGGAAAGAAAAACTTTTCCTGTCGGAAAGAAAAACTTTTCCTGTCGGAAAGAAAAACTTTTCCTGTCGGAAGGAAGGACTCGGAATGCCAGAAGGACTCGGACAAGACAATTTACCTTATAGAGCTACCTGAGCCATCTTTGGTGTCAAGCTTGAAAAATAAATGGTTCATCTACTCTGCTTGTTTGAAGTTGTCAAAATACTCTGTTATTTTTTCTTTCAGTAGCGGTAAATCTTCTTTTGAATGTAAGTTATTGTACAACCTTTCATATCATAGTGTGTTTGAGGTAACGTATCTTGAACTATTTGTTTCACATCTTCATTCGGTGTCATTGAAATCGGTAAGTTTTCGCGATAGAACCAATTTCTGTTAGATTTGTAAATCTTAGCAAGGTCGTAAAAGCTTTTGTTGTTTCTTCTGACTAAATGCAACATAACCATATCTCTGTCTCTTCTTCATTTTCCATCTCTTCAGTATAAATCATATACTTATAGTTCTTTTCCTTTCCTTTTGGTACCGAACGTGGTATTCTTTTCTGTATGTTTTTGTCTTCTTTCATCATATCTTCTCTCTGCTTTGTACAAAGTTCGTCAAGTAGCATAAGTATGTAGATTGCATAACGAGGTGAAGCCCACATTGCTATTGAACTAACTAGGAACTTATGAACATATATACCTTTTAGATGTGATGGTAAGTTTTGTCTGTCTTGGTACATCTTTTTAAGTTCTACATGTTCAAACTCACTGAGGAGTTCATGAGTGCTATTTAATTCAAACCAGTCTTGTGGTTTCTTAGTATCTGGAGCAAAACATGCTGTCAAAATACTTTGCATTTGGTACATGTCGTCTTTGACCGAACGAATGAGACGGAGTTGTTTGTTTAACTGAACCCACTCGTATTCTTCATTTATGGCTTCATGAACGATAGCAGTTGTTGTGTTCTCGGTTGTTGTCATATCTGTCTTTACATACAAAATAAAAAAAAAATTTTATAAAAAACTAGCGTTATTTCTATCTTGTATAAAAGACCAAAAATAAACGCTTTACATGTATTTTTCAGCAACTTCGTCAAATAATTTTATAGCACTATCTATCTCATCTACTTCAAACGTTTCTTTACCTTTCGTGGGAGCACCATACATTTTCTCAAACTTTTCAAGTAGTTCTGTTTCAGCAGCTCTCATATCGTTAACGAACACAACCTTAACTCTATTGACTGTACTGTCATATCTTTGAGTTATATTATATGTTCTTCCTATCTTATATCTCTTTGTATTGAAGTCCTTCGGTTTCTGAACGATGTAAAGTAAGCCCTCACTGCAACGTTCCGTATCGAATGAACCATATGTTATGAAATTATATCCAACAACTG